AACTTAATTTCTCCCTCGCTCGCCATAACTTACTCTTTTCTTACATAATTCGGGGGCCTTTCTTTTTCGCGGAGCGATGAATTCATTAAAACAGGGCGTAAAAAGGTCCCGATTTGCGGAGAAGGGGTAGCGGCGCGGGAGAGGGCTATCGGAGCAGGGGGCGGAGACCGTCGCTGCACAAAGAACGTAGAAGCGCGGCGTACGGACAAAATTGGAAGCTCGCGGTGCAATAATGTGATAAGCTGCGCAACACAAGCTGCTCCGACGGTGATGTTGAAAAGGCGAAAGGAGCTTGTGTTGTGTAAATGCTTCCTTTATGTGTTTGGGAGATCTAATTTAACGATATAAATTTTACGATTCCTAATTAATAGTTCAGAAATTTCTAATATACGAGTAAAAAGCAAGAAAAACGTTCTGAATGATTTCAAATAGAACTCTTAATAAATATCTCTTTCAACTCATTTCTTTCAATATTTTGTGCTTCCTTTTCTACGTTGTAAGTTATCTTCTTCTCTTGTGTGAAGTGTTTTTTCCTCTTTCAGACCGCTCTGAAAGAGATACGACATATAAAACGTGCGTTTGTTTACGGCTACTTCAAAACACATTTTTGCAACGAATATTTTAACTTTTCCTTTGCTATATTTCCAATGGTAATATCTCATTTTTATTAAATTAACATCACTATTTTATTCTTGAGTTTCAAATACATTACTAATAACATCAACAGTTCCAGCATTATTCCCACAAATCTCTTCTTTAAGATTCCTTAACACTTTTCCCAGCTTCACAAATCAAAGCCTTCATTTCCGCACCGGCTTAATGTGAAGTCTACAACAAAATGTATCCAGCAGATTTTGCTGAAAAGCATCGCGTTAAATTGCGTATATAAAGGACTGTTCTCCGAGTGAGAGGGCGGCTTCAGAGCCCCACATGTGCCGGCCAGGGAGGGAAACGATAATGAGGGGAAGAGGGGGATGAGAAAGGGGGGGTGGAGCGAGACGGAGGGAGGCGGGGCGTGCGCGGCAGAGCGTTCGCTCGCGCTAAGTGTCCGTAATGGAGTCTACGGAAAGCGCTCCCGGCGTGAAAAAATAATAAGCGCGCGAAATATCACGCGCCCGGCGCCGGCGTCCGCCTCTCCCGTCCGCGCGCAAACTCGCCCGTTTCTTTCCTCATTTCCATTCCGCCGCCGTCGCCGTAATCGCTCCGTCGTGCCGAGGACGTTTCACGAGTGCGGTGTTCGTGGAGGTTAATTTACGGAAGGGGGCGCGCAGCGCAACGGGCTGCGTGTGTCTTTGCGCTTCTCGGTGCGGACCTTCGCTTCCTTCTCTAGCGATTGCGCTACGGCCCGTTTCGAACCGAGGCCTTGCATCAGTGAACGCGCAGTCACGCTAAACAATTTTTTGGTTAGGGGTCGTCCATAAATTACGTGACGCTGAAGAGGGGGGAAGGGACTGAAACTGCACTACACTGCGTTACATAGGGGTAGTGGGGTATTAGTTAAGTGTTATGTAACATTCATAATTATATTCTTGCATTTTTGAGCATTAGCTGAAATAATTCCTTTTTCTAGTCCTATACTAAAACATTAAGTATTAACTAATTAATTTGTTTTAAAAGCATAAATAACCTAAAGTTATCAGTTTTAAATTGTTACAGTACATGGAAATATTTTTTAAACTTATTTTTTATTCTGTAAAATTATGAAGAAAATATTCCAAACTCATATGAAGTATATTCTAGAATCTATTTAAATTGACTCCATGTGTCATCCACGACAGCAATTGCTCGGTTTATGGTCAAACATTGTCTCGCTCATACTTTCTTCCTTCACTCACAACTTGCCCCAATCTGACTGTTAGGTCTTAGCCCAGCATTGCCAACTAATTGCCACTTTAAGTATCACTAATTTTAATATACAACTCAAGTAAAATAAATACAAATTGTTTTTGTTCTTCTATAATTTATTTTCACTTATCAAAGGGGTGGCAAGCGTTACGTAATTATTTAAAGAGTGTTCAAGCGCGCATTATTCAGGGGAGAGAGTGTTGAAAATACTCCAAATTTGCGTTACGTATTTTATGGTCGGTCCCTTATGGGAGATTGGGCCGATTGTGGGCCGTTGATTCTTTGAATGTTTGCAGGCACGACAACTGCTAAGGCCATTACCCCGTTTGTGTACTGAATGTTTTTTTCCGTGAGCTGGAGGTAATCCTCCCTCGTACGATGGAATGACTCGAAGATGACCTATGCGTCGAATTTCCGGGCGGGGGAATTTCCCTCTCCAAGTATCTCCTACCAACTGCAATGGGGCAACACCTCAGTCAAGACAAGCTCTAAGCTGGTCTCTTAACTATTACCGGAAGTAGTGTTGAGCATATACTCGTAGGTCTGTGTGTCTGTATCTGTGAAAGGGGAGAGGAGGGACAAGCACGAGATTGGAACGATCGCGCGCGATCCATGGCTCGTTTGTTAGTATACTGCTCTGACAAATGCCTGACGTTGATCGGAAAACGCTCGATTTGAGCAACCGTCCGCTAGAATTCTCCTCCAGATAGCGGCTGAATTAGACCTAACTACGCAGCGAGTGTCGGAAATCGGGACTCGAACACCAGGTCCTCTCGGTCAGAGTCACTGTAGAGACAGCGGCAGTTCTGGGACTGATCTAACAGACAGATGTGGCCGGAGAATATCTTATCGCTACGACAAAAGGGCGGGAGAGGGGATGAAGATGTATGCATAGCCTGCGGACTACGGAGCGTTGAGAAAGGTGCTGCTCCGACATCCGTCTGGAAAAGAATGTATGAAACCAAGTAAATCACCGATCAGAGAAGTCGGACTCGAGAACCTGCATCCGAGCAGGAACATCGGCCGATCCTACGTTTTAGCTGCTGTCGAAAACACGCCGCCGTCGGCATTCGGACGTGGGAGATCCAGGTCTTCGAAATTTCAAATGCGGTCTACCCTAACCCATTGTGTATTGCGCTCGTTAGTACAGCAATTCAAAATGTATAATTCGTATTGAAAAAATTGGGGTCACAGCACGTTACTTCTGTTTTATTGTCGCTTGCTGCATTTGTTTCCGGTAATTTCAATTTTTATTTGTATTTTTAATCTGCATTCAAAGGGCATTCGCGAGTTATTATATTACATTAAAAGAGGAAAGCGACGATAGTGACCCCGGACTTCGATTGAATTCAACACATACATTTTATCAGGTATCAATTTTAGCATATGATTAATTCTTTAAATTACCCTATTACGTTCAATTTCTATTTTACTAAAATTTTAGTATTAACCTTTTTGAATACAAAATGTACAACGTATAAAAATAAAAATCGTCAGGAATTATTATCTTCTAATAAAAGTTATATGTTACTTAATACTGAACATTCTTATTTATTCCTCTCGGCGTTCTCAAGAAACCTCCCTCTATTTATTTCAGTTTTAAACGTTTTTTTTCCATCGGTGTTACCGAAGTTAATTTCATGTGAATTCTTTCCTTTTTAACACGATGATAAACATATTTCTCAAGTATTTCTTTATCTGAGCCCGATGCATCACTTCGCTTTCTTTTTTGCTTTCATCAACTAAACAATTATTAGGCAACATTTTTCCACAATCGCTATAAACGTGTTTGCAAATCTTTGAGTGTGCCCCTGAAAAATGCTTTGAAGTGTCTTAAGATTTTATAGAATTCATCACTTCTTATCCCTAAACAAGCAACATCTCCATTTGGTTTTCTAAATAAATATTCATGTCTTTAGTTCAACACATAATTTCACCTATTTCAAAGCCAACGTTTTATGCTTTCCACCTCCTTAAGAGGAATCTATAAAGAAACCAATTACTCTAACTTGATTAGACTTTAATTCAGACTTCATTCTCTATTGAATGAGGTAGAATACTTTTCAATTTCCTAGCAGGGGAGAAGTTTCCTGCGTAAGATTTTCTCATTTCCCACGATGTAAAGCAATTTCTTGACTTCGCAAAATTCTTGCTATGAACTAAGAACAAGATCGAAAATTGATAAGAAACGCAAAATCTGAGTTAATATTCTTCATAATATTCTTAATATTCAATAATTATATGTAATGGTTCAGAGTTATGTAGACCAATTATATGTGAAAATAAGCAAATTCAAAAGTGCGCTACATTCAGTTCGCAAAACTGGTTAGCAAGAAACGTTTAGTATCAAATTTCAAATATATATTTTACGTAACAAACTGAATAAACCATAACTTAATAATTTAACTCTTTTGATATGTATATATATATATATATATATATATATATATATATATATGGTTTTTACAATTAGATTACATTGTAACGTAGTGGCTTTGGCGAGATAGGTGCGTGCCTATGAGCAACACTCCTACCTCCACGCCTAAATCGTCTTATATTTCTGTTTATATCTCCAGCTTTTCCGTTACAATTATTATATTACACCAAGTTAACGTGTAGAATATTTATATAAATCTTTTTAAATCTTCAAATTCATATCTACATTATTTACATCTTGTCCCTCTTAGCCGCATCTGGATATTATTGGGCGTTACGATACTTCATACGGTGAACCGAGTACTGAAACATCGAAACATTTATTTACAATTTTATAATTTGCTATTTGAGACTATTGAAGTCGTAGGCTTTCGCGACCAGAGTCATGTGCGTGATCTGGGCTGTCCGGGTGACGCCGCGACGAAGGTTGTGTTGCCGAAGTTTCGACCAGTTCATGCGTTTTCGACCATCGTATGCATACCAGCCCTGAGGAAGACCACGACAAGATGGTCGAATCGTCGGCAACACAGCCTTCGCCGCGGCGTCACCCAGACAGGCAAGATCACGCATTTGAGACTATTGTTCGTTTTGGACCGTAATGATTATATTTTCAAACTTCCCAATTTCCTTGTATGTCCTTTTAATTTAACTTTCGATTCGGTAACGCGTGTTTGAAATGGCGTGGTGTTCCGCAGGTCACATGCGCCCAGCGGCGGGGCATGGAGGATGAGCGCGGGCGTGCCGCGGCGCGGGCGTGGGCGCCGGGCCGGCCTCCGCCCCCGCGCCCGCGCCCGCGCCCGCTCGCCCTCGCCCGCGTCGAGGGCGTGGCCCTGCTGTGGCTGGCGGTGGCGGCCGCCTGCCTGCCGCTGCCCGCCGCGCGCGCCATCTGCCCGTCCAAGTGCGCGTGCGACGACGAGGTGCTGCGCGCCACGTGCGAGAGCGCGGGCCTCGAGGTGGTGCCCATCCAGCTCAACCCCGAGGTGAGTCGCTGATGAAGGACTAGCAATGCATTTGCATGCCCATGCAGTTCAGCCCAGAGGTAAGTCACTTAGAGTATGGCTCAACTGGAGTATGACAAGAGAATGAAGTTGTATAGCCTCCCAGGTCAACGCGATTGTGAGTTGCTGTCTAAAAAAAAACGATTTGTATGAGATATATCCGAAGTCGAGCTACAATCGTAAAACTATGATATAAATTTAAATCCCATACCACTCAATCCTGTCGTCAAAATATATGAAAAATGGACAGTATTTTCCAATGAGATACACTCTGTACTTATTTTCTGGTCAATAGCACAGTAATAGTTTTATTTTCCCCTCTAGAATATCTCATAACTCAACTCATTGACGGAAGAAAAAGCAGTAGTTTCGTTCTCAACCAGGTGAACTCGGACAAGAATGACTCGCACAAAGCAAAGCGGTGAATTTATGTTCCCTACCAAGCTCAATCTATTGTGAAAGACAAAATAATAAATGTTTACCCGTCCACCTTAGCCAAGATGTGAGTCGCTCGTCGAAGACAAGACGAAGAGTAGGGTTGTCCATCCAACTTAACTCGAATGTAAATTACTGTCAGAAGACGAAGCTTGCAGCCTTTGAACTCATTCAGCTCAGTCCTCAGGTAAACAACGAAAATAAAGGCAACGCGTATCTTTGCTCCTGAGGATCAAAAAAATATTTACAAATTATTCGTAGATTAGTCTGTTCCCAAAAACAAATGAAAAGAGTTATGGCACCTACCTCAATGTGATGATGATCCGCTTTTTAAAGGGATCAGACGTTCCCAGCAGATTAACATAATGACGAAACTGCTACATTTTACAATGTTTGAAAATTTTATATTATGCATTTTCAATTTCGTATTACATACTGTTCTTTCATAATTTCAAAACTGGACTTTATTGCCTCTGTGATATATTATTGACAAACGTTTCTTTTTGGCACCCCAACGCGAATATCCAGAAGTTATTTTTGAACCAGTTAATCCATATATCTGCTTTCATGGTAAAGTCAGTAAGCGATTGTTTTACGTCACCTATTGCGTATGTAAATTTATTTGAAAATGTAGATTTCGGAGTAAGCAATTAATCATACAAACAGCTTTTGTTTGATCGCAGCTTTTAAACGAGGAAAGCGAACGCACAGACACATATTACTTGTGTATTTGTATTCAAAATACTGAATCAAATAGAAACACCCAACAATACTGTTATTCAGTGATCGTTAATTATTGCTAATTTTCTGACTTGTTTGGGGTTTTCCTCCTAAGCTTTGTTTTTAATGTTTATTTCAAATTTAAAATGATTTTATTTGAATGTTGACCTCTTTTGAATATATATTCAATGGGTAATTTACTTTCTCATCTGTTTTATAATGGAACAATATTCTTTAAGTCACTTTAAAATTAATTACGTAGTGTATAATATCTAAACGTGTATAATATATAGTAGTGTATAATATCGAACGCCTAAAAAGACCTTTTATTAAAGTTGGTTGCTTAAATCGTCATTTAGTAAAGAAAATATGAAAGAACATTTTTAGAGTTAAAAAACAAACATGTGATTCTCAGATGATCACTGTAATATAACTTGCTAATAGAAAAAACATCATCAATAAATGAATATTGAAAAGACTGTGTTGCAGCACAGTACCTACAAGAACAATAAGTTCTTTGTCAGGTACTTCCGTGTACCATGGTTACCATGAAAGTGAAAATGAATCTCAATCATCAAGAAGAAGTCAATAAATAAAATACTTTAAATGTATGCTTAATTTGCTTGTTGATTTTTATTCTCAATGTTTATATAAATTGATGAATTTGGTAATAATCATGTGAAAATTTAATTTAAATTTTTATTTCACACAAGATATTTACACAGTACTATGTAAACACAAATTTAGCATTCTGTAAGAAATGACATTTTTTGCAATTTATCCAATCATCTAAATATTCGACTATCCGGATCGCGTCCGGTCCCCATTAATCCCAATATCTGGAATTCTATTATACACAATGTCCAGGAAGGAAACATCGAAACGTCGAAAATAAGCCATTAACACAATTTTAAGCATATTTTGTTCCATAAACTCCTTGGATATTGCAGATGGCTAAGGCGCAATAAGTACAGAAAAGTTGATTTGAAATTGTAAGTAATAAACAGTTTACGAATGTCTGGGGTGTTTCTATTCTTCTGCAATGCAAATTGTTGGCTAGAAAGCATTTTTTTCAAATCAGCTTTTGAGTACTTATTGCGGCTGAGCCTTTCGGAATATCCAATAAATTTATTAGACAAAATATGCTTAAAATTGTGTTAAGAGCTTATTTGCGAAGTTTCGGCGTTTCCTCCCTGGACACCCTGTATACTGGAAACAGATATATTCGTTGAAGTGACACGTGTGGCGTGAGGTGGTTGCAGGCGGCAACGCTTGAGCGCGTGGTGTGTGCGTGTGCGCGCAGGTGCGGTCCATCAGCCTGCGCGGCAACCGCATCGTGTCGCTGCACATGTCCTTCACCTTCTACATGAACCTGCGCTGGCTGGACGTGTCGCGCAACCGAGTGGCGTCGCTAGGCGCGCGCGTCTTCGAGTTCCAGGAGAAGCTCGTCCACCTCAACATCAGCGGCAACGAGGTGAGCGGCCGGCGAAGCAAAGACGGCGGTCCCTTCAAGAAGGTCGACGGCGGGGTGGAGATTCGTGATTTTGCATGTTTCTAAGTAACCTAGTCAGTTACTGGAATTGCTACGGTAAATGATTGAAGTATTGCGTGAATGATTGAATGATTGATAGGATTTATGAATGGCGTGTTAACGAAAATTATATTAAGTTTTAATTGATAGTTTATTTTTACAAATGAATACTTTCTTAGTGGCAGCTCTACATAAAAAAGGGAAATAGAATAGACATTAAAGAAATCTTCACCATTATTACCATATTATTACCCCATGTCCTACTTAATAAATAAGCATAATAAAATCACAAACATGTACAAAATACTTAGAATATAAAACTTACATGATTCTTACACGATACAATACAAACTTTGAAAACGTTTCAGAAATAATATTCAAAACGGTTTCAAAAGCTGCGCACCACAGACAAAATTGCTTGTATTGCAGGAAGTATATTACTTCATTTGACTGCATTAATGCATCAGTAATACAAGAAATGATCCATATTTTGCATTCATTTGGACAATTTGGTAAGTCGTTCGTATTAGCCATCAGTAAGAATATACTTCAATGTAGCACTGAAGAGAAAAAATACTCATAATTTGCGGACATGATACGGGTCTCAATTGTATAATAGTAAATTAATTGAACTTAAGCTATCTACTAATTTGATTTCCAGCCCTACTTTCTTATTTCTGCAAATATTTGCATGACTTTGTTGGTCTTCTTGACTCTTACAAACTCTCCTCTTATTGACTTAAAACTAGTATTTTTAACTGCATAAAAATTGGTTTCTAGCTAATAGATAATTGGGAGTAAATTAATAATATTTCATTAATGAATGAAAGAAAATAAAAACGTCAAATAGCCATTTTTTAAATATATTTCTATGAGAATTTTGGTTCTCAATAAATACTGCAGTAAATTTTATTTTTACCAAGCTTTTAAAGAAATTCTGTACATTGGGAGTTCCACAGGGAGGAAACGAGACTTTAAGGGTCTTGTTCGCATATAGAGCGCGTTCCGTGGAATGGATTTCAGCGGTGATTACCGATTCAATCGCAAACGATATCGTTCCGAGTGAGCTCGGCAATTCCCGCTGATGAATTGCGTCAGTCTGCGCGCCGAGCCGAGCCGCGCCGCACCGCGCGGCTCAAGACCCGTTCCCGAGACCCGGTCGCTCAGCCGCGATCAGTTGCACATCGGCCTCGCCGTCGTACTTTTTTTTCTCGCGATCCGCTCCATTAAAACTAAGTGGATTTACGGATAACGCGTTTGTTTTCAATCTTCCGAATAGCTAAAAGCTGTTTCGCCTTCGTGTTCACTTCGGAGAATCTCCTCTCCGTTTATTGAATCCTCCTGAGTGAAAGTTGTTGCCGACGGCCAAGACTGGCAGCGGGGCTAGTGCCCCTGGTGGATGCCCGTCTCTGCCCCCCGCCCCCGCCCTCGTCCCCGCCCTCGCCCCCACCTCGCCCTTCAAAGGGTTCGGTCAACTGATGATGGTGGAATAATAACGAACTAGTGGATTTAGAGGAAATCAGCGAGGTGAGGCACTTGCAGAAGAACATCAAATTTTTAGGTTTAAATTTGTGTTTGCGTTTATTTCAAGAAAGCAATTTAGAGGTTTATACATCATAGAATTTTCTTTTTAAATTAATTATATTTTCAACATTCGTTATTGTAATTATGATCTTATTGCCATTAAAATATTAAGAAATGAATTTAACAATTCAAATTCAATATATAAAAGACATTAGTTGGAATTTGAAATGGAAGTTCACATATCATTTCAAAAACTTGATATTTCCTTTCACATTTCTCTAAAATAAATTTAATACAAAATATTTCACAATTATTTTGTTTCTATTCAGCATAAACGATTATTTTTTTCTAACACAAAAACAAGAGACCTAAAAACAATTTGGATTTCTTTCATCATTACAATTCTTCAAGAGTTTCTGTATCTCTTTCGTCTAGACTAGCTTTCCACTTTTGCCACGGTTACCCAGTAGTTACCTATCAACTTTAAAGAGTATTTTTTCACAATTTATACTTTTTTATCACAATGAGATATTTTATGATGTACAGGAATCGTCCATTTAAACAAGGAAAAAACCGTAACCAATCACAAAGATTAAGAACAATTTAAAATGAAAAATGCAGCTTCATCATTCATTGTAAGCCGCTGATGTTGTTCTCATACGTTTCTCATTGGGAAACGCTGTGACACACACGAGACGCAGTGTAATATTTTCTTTTGAAACCATAAAGAAAACATCAACTCATTTTAATTTATAAAATGATTCCAATTAATGCACTTGAAATGCAGTCGGTAAGTAATTACGCACTCATACCACTCTCTCTCTCTCTCTTATACTCTCTCTCATACTCTCTCTCATACTTTCTCTCAAACTCTCTCTCTCATTCTCTCTCAAGCTCTCTCTGTTCAGCTCTCTCTTTCTCTATTTCTCTGTCTTTGTCTCTTTCTTTCTAACTCTTTTTCTTTCTCCCTCTCTCCCTCCCTACCTCTCTCTCTCTCTCTCTCTCTCTCTCTCTCTCTTTGTCAATGCCTTGTTATCTAATTAAGTTACTGTACTTGGTTGAATTTCATATGTACAGCAAGCACAAAGTTTCAAATAATTTATATTTAATTTGAGTGTAGATGCTACGTCAGAATCCGATTCTTCAACGCTTCTACTCTGGATGAAAATCAGCAAGAGAGATCTTGGAAAAAATCGACGGTGCATAGTTTCTCTCAAAATTATAAAATAAATAAAAAATAAGGTAACCTTTGATTCAGCACTTCTCGTTTCTGAGCAATTGACCTCCAGTTCTAAAAGCATTCGTATTTACTAGTCATATTCTATGAACGATTTATCAGTTTGTATTTGATAAAACGAGTCTAAATATGAGACACTCAAAATTTTCATGTAAAAAATAAAAAAGGAAGTATATCGTCTTTGGAATCTGTTAATGAGACTGTGCTAAGAAAAAAATGATAATAAAGTCATTATTTGTTTTCAAAAAAACGTCGTTTTACTTTTTGAATTATTTACATTAATAGTTTTGAATTTATTTTGTTTTTACGATTTGAAAAAATCACGAATATATCAGTCACATATTTTTTATACGAGAGTGAATTTTATCAGACTCATGCGTGTGATCTTGCAAATTGTTCACGTACCAAATGTGTTTGCTCCACAATTACGAAGTCACACATTAATTAGCCCGGAATTGATTTTTCTTTGAGGGTATGATTTTCACTCATTGTGAATACCATTAATAATTTTATTTGACTCTTCCGTCGTCTCTGCAATTGTCCAGAGTTTGATGCCTTGAAATTTCACTTCACTTTGTCGATAATGTTTTTTGTCTACGAATGTGTCGAGATTAGTTATTTATGACAAGGCTTTCACGCCTTTCGTTGCATCTTCTATGTCGGGAATGACAAGGTTCATGAATGTCCTGTCAACATATTGATCAGCAGTTGAATTGTTTGCAGCGCGTTGAAAAATGGACGCCCAGGCGAATGTGACTTGCCGATGTGGAAGAACAGCTTTTACAGAGAATCAGATGCGTAAATACTATAAATGTAGCTTTCCATTTGTAGTATTAAATTTCTACAAATTCATGACATTTCGTTTCGAGAAAATAAATCATTAACATTTTCTTTAACATTTAACTTTCTTTAAAATTAACCACAGTATTTAAAGTGCCGATGGTTTTGAAGATATTGTATATTCAATGTGTTTTTTCTTGAAGGAAGAAAATGTTTACATAGGGCAGTGACAATTTTATTTAATTTTTTTCAGTTGAAAATTTACAAAACATCTTAGAGGGTCAGTCACGATTCACCCGAGAGTCTCTCCCCTGTACTTAATTCTCGAAATGCGTATAAAGTTGCCTGAGAAAGTCATATTTTTTCCCTATGTGCAGTTAATCTGTCTATGGTAGTTCCAGCAAGATATTAATTCTGGTAAATCAAATATTAAAACAATATTTCACAATATTTAGGGCACATATAGTTAGTAAATATGGGCAAAAAGTAAGTGAAGTAGAAAAATTAATATTTATGTGAGTTCTATGAAGCTTTGAACGCTTTCCTAGTGTGCGATGTTTTATTATCTGCAAAAAGTACTTCTATTTTTACGAATTCCAACGGGACATTCCAGAAGTGATTTATTTCCAAAGTTGGGGCTTCTCTCCCAATTTAGTGAAGCTGTGATTTAACATACATCCCTGGCGGCAGTCCAAGAATCGATTGCGAGAACTGTGCTAAGCGATGGCAAATATTCAACGAATTTAATAGTGGGTTCGGATCTATTTTTTAATTTGTTCTGCAAATTTTACCCCCAACAATTTACTAAAACAATAACAATGTCTTAGAGTCAAATTTAACAGAAAGAATAGGCAATTTGAGTGAATAATATCGTATGCGTCCTTACCACAAATCACATTAATTCTATCTTTGTTGTATCGTTGGAATGACTGTTGAATGAAATGGAAGATATTAAATAATACAAATTGTGTTTTAATCTTTAAAATTCATTTAAAGATGCGCCGCAATAACAATATTTTAACCTTAATTAACGGGTTTTTGTCGCGCTGTATAAAATAAAACCACCCCGTAATTTTTGCTCCTTTCCTGAGTTTACAATTTTTCAGTACAATGATTGTAGTCCGGAAGCCGTATCTCTTGGTAATGTGATGTATTACACGAATGTTTGTAATTTTTAAATCCACAAAGGATACCTTTCTCTGTATCACCATATGTTTCAATTTAACAACCTTTGTAAAGTGCTTTCCTCCCAAACTACTGCGGTTATAATATTAAAAATCAACACAAACTAGGTGCGTCGCAGCGCTAACCCTAAGAATGAACATCAGAGCGTTGTGAGCGTAAGGCTGAACGTGGCCGCGAAGCGATGGTTAGAACGAAGGAAACAGCCCGACGGTCCGCT